CAGACGGTTCTGGACAGAGCTGGAGAAGGATGTAGAACAAAATTCTAACACACACACAAAAAGACCAGATTTACTGGTCTGACAGAGACTGGAAAAACCCCGAGAGTATGTCCCCCAGACACTCTTTTAGCTCAGTGGTGAAGCACTTCTGAGGATCACCGTTCAGCCGGGGACTGGACAGCCCCATAAAGCAAAACGGAACTAATGAGGCACAGCAGTCCAGGGACAAGGACTAGAAGGCAGAATGGGACAGGGAAGCTGGGGATAGGGAACCCAAGGTTGAGTAAGGACAGTGTTGACATGTAGTGGGGTTCTTAACCATTATCATAGGGCAACATGTGTACTGTTTAATGAGAAACCATTCTGTTCTTGAAACCTTCATCTAAAGTACAAAAAAAAAAAGTATTATCTATGTGAGATCAAACTGACAACAGCAACTCCAAAGATTTGATGGGAAGCCTAGGGGGCAGTGATTTGAAGATAATGATGATGGAATAATTTGGAAAAGGATAGTGAGAATAGCAGCACAATTGGAAGAATGTAATCGTTGTCACTGAATTGTATATGTAGAAATTTTTGAAATGGTGTAGCTTTGGTTATGTATATTTTCACGAAAAAAGAAAAAACGTCCTCCAAGGTTGAGAAAGGAGAGTGTTGACATGTTGTGGGGTTGTTAACCAAGGTCATAAAACAATATGCGTACTGACTGTGCAATGAGAAACTATCTGTTCTGTAAGCCTTCACCTAAAGTACAATAAAAAAAAAACAAAACAAAAACAAAAACCAGACTCGTTGCCATCAAGTGGATTCCGACACATAAGGACCTATAGGACAGAGCAGAACTGCCCAGTAGGGCTTCCAAGGAGTAGCTGGTAGATTTGAACTTTTGGTTAGCAGTCAAACGCTTAAACCACTCCACCACCAGGGCCCTATAGCTCAGTAATGCTGTTTTGAAAAAAAAGTCACCTATAATGTACTATTGAATTTAGGGGGGAAAAGAATGCAGAGAAGAGAACTGGAATGAAATATGCCAAAATGTTAATATTGAGTTGTACTGTAATACTGGTTTTCTTTGAGTTGTAAGAATATATTTTTTTAATTCTAAATTAACAACTAGTGCAGCAAAAGCAAACAAGAAAGGAAATTTACAAATATGCTTACAACAGCCACCGTAAGAGTGGAAGGAATAAAAGCAAATTTTCCCCTTTCATCTTCATTTTTAAAACTCTTGTGATGGAGTTAAATTACTTAGATAATAATAATAATAAATTGTAAATATTTCTAATCCCAGTGCTGCATGATTTTTAGTTTCTGAAGAAATTAGCTTTGACAAAACTGCTATGTTCTGAAACCAGATGTCACAATGGCTGGTGTTTTAAAAGTTGTATTTGCAATGTTAGTTACATCACAGTAAAAGTCACTCTCTCCTTTGTCCTCTACTTATCACACCGACCTTTGATCCGTTCAGATTTTCTCCTTTAACTTGGTTTAAAAAAAAAAAAGTCTTAACAAAACAACAGACATTTCAAAATTTCAGTCGGCAATGAACACGATTTTGTCCTACAGAAAAAAATAATATGGAACACACTTGAATACGGATACTTCCTTGATACCTATGCCACGGGGTCAGTGGGCAGTACCTGTAGTCTCGTCATTGGGGCCATCACCACCCTTCCAACTGAGAGGAAAACGTGTCACGTGAACAAGCACTTAAAATCCAGCTCTCCCATTCCCATGGCTTAAGGAACCCAGTTACTTATGAACCAACTATAGTCCGTGTTCCTGCCGCTGTTAGGACTAACACTGGCCTCTGACACTCTGGACAGTCAAGAGTCTAGAGAGTCAACTTTCTCTAGCGCAAAGACAACTCCACAGAGTCAACTTCCAACTATTTTTAGGCTTTTGGCTGTCTTCATTCTGGACAGGGTCAGTAATTTTCAATAGCCTCTAGCTGCTCTCCTAGCAGCTCCCTTCCAGTTCACCCTCTTTCTCAGAGGAGTAACTCAGGCTGTTTTCCCATGCTCAAACTCTCCCGTCTGTGGGATAAAGTCCAAATTCCTCTGCCTGATAACCAAGCCTTCCACAATCACTTTCCCAGCCTGGCCAGGCCGCTCAGCACCCCAAGTGCATCTTCCCATTTCCAGTCCTCTGGATCTTTGCACATGCTGGTCTCTACCAGCGATGTCCTTTCCTCCAGTCTACCGTTTGCCATCTCAACTCCTGCTCCTCCTTCAAGAACCCAATCACGCACTACCGCCTCTGGAAGTTCTCTCTGCACCCTTCCTCCCAGGAAAGCCTAATCACTCTTACCTATGGGTGCAGTATTGTGTAAACATCTCTGTTCCAGCACCTATGACTCTCAGCTCTGAGAGCGGGGGTGGCGGGGGGTGACCTTTATCCATCTTTGCTTCTCCATTGTGTAGCTCAGTACCAGGCAAACAGAAAGCGCTCCATAAATGTTCATGGGCTACATTCATGGACCACCTCCCTTTCCTGGTCACTGCTGGATGCGAATTTCTTAAGGGTATGGTCTTGGTCTTAGCTAGATCCCCAGTGCTTAGAATGTCTGGCAATAATAAGTACTCCAAAAACATTTGCTGAATAAATGATGATAACAAGATAATAATACCTATGTCAAAGGGTTTGGTGAGGATTAAATGAGAGGGTAGGCACAAAGGGATATAAAGCACTTAATACAGTGCCCTCACCACCCATCTGTCAGTTTGTTGTACTGTGGTGGCTTGCATGTTGTTATGATACTGGAAGCTGTACCACTGGTATTTCAACTACCGGCAGGGTCACCACATGGTGGACAGATTTCAGCGGAGCTTCCAAACCAAGAGAGACTAGGAAGAAAGGCCTGGCAATCTGCTTCTAAAAATAGGTCAATGAAAACCCTATGGATCACAACAGAACACTGCCGGATTACCAACGATCATGAAGATGGCACAGGACCGGACAACATCTTGTTCTACTATACACAAAGTCAACATGAGTCAGAGCCGACTTAATGGCAACTAACAACAATACAGTGTCCAGAACAGTAAGGATGGCTGATGTTATTATCAGAGGTATCTAGAAGGTGAGGTCGCTGTGGGCAGGGGCAGTTACAGAAGGCTTCAAAGAGGCAGCAAGTCTTGAGCTCAATCTGGAAGGATGAGTAGAATTTTTGATAGGCAGAGAGGTCACTATCAGAACTGACTCGACAGCACCTAACAACAACAACAACAGAGAGGTGGAGGCATTGCATGCAGATGGAAGCTACCCCTCCCCCATGTGTGCTCTCTTCATACTCAAATACATAGCCATCCCAGTGTTAAAGATCTTCTATTCGCCAGCCTCTCTCTGCCCATTCATTAACCCACTTGCCTTTCATGTCTATATCCCAAAAGCCTAGAAGACTTTCACTACTATTATGACTGAATTGTGTCCACCCAAAATATGTTGGAGTCCTAATCCCTATACCTGTGAATGTAATCAATCAGTTGGGGTCAGTGCAGGGTGGGTCCCAAACCTACTCACTTCTGAGTTATTTAAAGAGCAGCAAACACAGATACATGAAGACACAGGGGGAAGACAGATGCTATCTAACAGTGACAATCTACAAACTCACGAACTCCAAGGACTGCCTGCTGAGACAGCATGAAACAGGCAAAGGACCTCCCCCTAAAGCCATGCTCTGAATTAGGACTTCTAGCCTCCTGAACTGTGAGAAAATAAATTTCTGTTCTTTAAAGCCACCTACTTGCGGTACTTCTGTCATAGCAGCACTAGAAATAGAAGACAACTACTAAAGGGCAATCAATAATTTTGTTGAATTAATTTTGGAAGTCTGCAGAAAAGGCACAGTATGGTCTTCAGTTCAGCGACTCCAAATATTCAAGCCCCCAAATTAAGAATCCTGTACAAGGATGCCCACTACAGCATGGTTTGTGAGAGCAACAACCAGCATGTCCACACACAGGGAAACAAAAAACAAGCTATGGTGCATCTATCTATACTGTGCAGAGGCTAAAGAGAGCAAGGCAGAGGTTTATGTACTAAAGCGAAACTGTCCAAAAAACATTGTGAAGTTGAAAAAAGAGTTGCAGAATACACATTGTATGATTTCATTTATGTAAAACATCAAAATTTTTAAAACCGCACAAACTAAACATTTCTCTGAATATACACATGTATCTTCTTAGCCATTGTATTCTCAGCTCAACACAGCGCCTGAAACGTAGTAAGTTCTCAATGAATGAAGACATATGTACACGAATAGAAAAAGGACTGGAAAATAGATCTGCTTTTCACGCTAAATATTTCTGTATTGTTTGCATTTTTCTAAGAGAACGCATTAATGTATTATTATGCAATACTACGGATTCAAAATCTTTATTTTAAAAAAATGCAGGACATTGCGCATAGTGCTCTTTCAAGATCTTATCTACATGGGATCAAAGTGACAATGGCAACTGAAAAGATTAGATATAAAACTTACAGGGCAGTGAGTCTGTGTGTTGCACAACTCAAAGAATGTAACCAAGATCACTGAATTGTACAAGTAGAAATTGTTGAATTAGTGTATGTTCTGCTGTGTATATTCTCCACAACAAAATTAATATAAATTATTAAAAACGATGCAGGACCAGGAGAAATCATAAGAGGTCCATGCACCTACTCTGAATAACTTGCCCAGGTAAACGATTTAATCGTTTTGAGCAATCGGGGCTCTTAGACTGCCTCGATGCTCACTTCACTCTCTGGCATCAGACCCCTTCACAGCATAAATATATACAGAAAAATACCGGATTCTTTTCAAGTTGTCCCTGAAAATCAGTAGATGCGTGCCCTCTCTGCACTGTGCTTTTCTTCCAAACCAAGACTCTTCCGAGGCTGGCGCCCCCCCACGCCCCCACCCCCCATAGCAGAGTAAGGATTTCGGTGCGGCAGGTGGGCATGCGCCGTCCTCCAGGTAGGCACGAGCGCGCGACGCTGGGGTGGGGAAGGGCACTTACTCTTGGACCGGCCCCTTCTCTAGCGGTACTCCGTCTGTCCAGCTCAGGCATCATCCCTCGGAGGACCAAGCTCTTCTCTAATTCGGCCCAGAGCCCAAAGGTCACCTGGTCAGTGGAGAAGATGGACGGTTTTAAACCCGGGGTAAGAGGGATAGGGTTTGGAAGGCATCTTTCCGGTTTTCTTCTAACGCGAGGACAGGTCTGGGAACCTGCCCCTCGTTTCGGATGAGGGGATCCGAACCCCAAGCCTGTGGGTTAATTCAAAGTCGTGCCCGTGGCCCCTTGGGGCGCGAGGATAAGAACCGGGTGGAGAGTCGGCCTGAGACCCTCACTTACGCTCAGAAGCGGTGCCTCAGTCTCCTCGGTCCGGCCGGGAGCGCAGGGCGCGTTCCCTCCCTCTCCCCGGTCTCGGCTATTTGGGCCGGCGCCTCCGCACTCGGTCCGCGGCCTCCGGCGGGCGCCGGGCAGGCACTGCGGGCAAGCCGGCGGACCCGACACCAGAGCGGCAGACCGCAGGGCTCGCCACCGCCGCGGGAAAAGTGTGGCGTGGCGCGGAGGGCGCCAGCGTCTACCGCTCTGCGCTGCCGTCTATCAGTTCTCCGTGCCCGCCTCCCGCGAGCCGTGGATCCGAAACGCCGCAACCGCGAGGAGTGAACTCTGCACCTGGAAGATCGATCAGGGTCGCGCCAGGGACTCCCATTGGCCTCCAACGGGCGGCGGGCACTGCGCTGCGGGCTCGCGCGCCAACACGGGGGCTTCGAGTGGGGGAAGGGACTGAGGACGGGACCAAGGCTGTCCATTAGAGGCCACGCCTACCACGGCCGAACTTCCACTACAGCCCCGCCCACAGGGGCGGGACCCATGTGCGCCACGCCGAAAACTCGTTAAAGCCTTGGCAGAGTCTACTGGCTGAAAGGCCGTGGGAAGCAGCTGCCAACAACCAATTGGAATGCGCAGTCGGCTTGTGGGGGCGGGGCAGCATATCATACTTCCTCAGGAGCCAATAGAGTAGAGGAACGGAAAAGCGCTTCTTGAGTTCCGGGGTCGGCGGAAGATGGCGGCTACCGAAGAGGGTTGGTGTTTGTGCAAATTATTGAGGTGAGTAGCTGGAGGAGTGGGCTGGCAGGCGTTTTCCGTTCGGCTATGGTACTTGCCCGCACAGTGCAGCTAAGCTTTGCGGAAGAAGGCCTACCTTGTCACAAACCTAGGATATTTTCTCAAAGCCAGAGAACTTTTATTCCTCCGTGTTTGGGGTCTCCTGGATAGAGTTTCTTTCCCAGCTTTAGCTTTTTCTTCTTCTTCGCAGTTCAATAATCTACCATAAATTATTCATCTCTATTTCTCATTTTCCTTTTTGAGTAAGCCAGGAGTCGTTTTCCAATCCGTTCTGTCTCTCATTTTGGTAAAGAAGAAACCGGATCTTCTTTTTCGTCTTAGTTTCTCCACTTTAAACTCACAAAAAAAGTCATTGTTAACAAGTGTCATTGAAATATAAAGTTTATGTTGAATCCTCTGCTTCTTGATCATCCATTACTTTTTTTCTGGTTGGTGAAGACTAGTTCTACAAAATATTATTATCTTTATTACATAGGTAATACATTGTTTATTGTAGAGGAGTTAGGAAGTAGATGGGCAAAAAAGAAAAGTGGCCAGGAATACCACCATCGGGTTAACCACTGTTGGTTTGGGTGAAAATTTTTTATTAAAAAAACTCTCAAACTTTTTTTCCACCTTTGTAAAATGTCTTGCTCTACGTTAGTAAAACAGAAGACCTAGTACATTATACCTACCCAGTGTTTTTAACACCTATACATTTGGTTTAGCTTAACTTTTATAATTAAAGGTAACTTCCTGAATAAACCAAAAAAAAAAAGCAACCAAACCCGTTCCCCTGGAGTCGATTCTAACTCATTGCGACCCTACAGGGCAGGGTGGAACTGTCCCATAGGGTTTCCAAGGCTGTAGTCTTTACGGAAGCTGACTGCTAACGTCTTTCTTCCCTAGTGCTGCTGGTGGGTTCAAACCACCGACCTTTTGGTTTGCAGCCCCGCGCTTAACCACTGAGCCACCAGGGCTTCTTGCTTCCTGAATAGCAGTATTTAAGTATTCTTTCTAAAGTTCAGATATTGTCTTCATTTTTGTCCCCTTTACTTCAAGTACTATAATGATTATGTAAAACATTCAGAAGGGGAAGGTCTACTTCCTGTTCTTCCCTGCCATTTGGAATATCCCTAACCCTGTTCTTTGCTAATACTAATGGCTAAATAAGTACTGAATGAATGACTCATTGTTGATTAATTATCTTTTTAAAGCCTTGTTAAAATATGGGTAAATAAATAATGGCACATAATTTAGTTATTGCTAAACAAACTTTAAAATAGATAATTTTGATGTGGTTAATAAATGTGTTTATAGAGCCTGGAAGTGTACCTTTGAAAGTAACCAGACTGAAAATAAAGGACTGGTTCACCTTTAGTCATTAATGAGATTTTGTTTTTTAAGTTAAATAGTTCGATTTGAAAAGCCTATCATAAATTTTCCCACCTAGACCATTTAAAGAAAATGTCTGCCATTTAAAATTAAAAAATTATATTTCCTGAGTATGTTATTGAAAAATGACTTTTCCAAGGTTACCCTGTGATAAGAACTGAATTTGAACCCGTATCTATCTAACAAAAACTTTTATCCATATCTCCATGCCAATGTTCACTATATTAATCTGAATTCTACCAACTGCAGCCTAAACTTGGTGCCCTCTTTTGTTTTATTGAGCTTAGCTTGTTTGTTTTTTCTTAATTCTGTAAGGGTTAAGGTAGGAATAGGGTAATTCATTCACATCTTAGTGGGAATTAATTTAATCAGATTGGAGTTTTGTTTTTCTCCTCAAAACCTTGCTTAGTTCTGCTCAGAAATTGAATCTGGAGCCTAGGGGAAGGAGTGGATCATGGTTTTAATGAGCTAAAGAGGAAGAACAGGAAGGAGGTAAAGCTCATTTTGGAACCCTTACCAAACCAAAACCAAACCAAACCTATTGCCTCCAAGTTGACTCCGACTTGTAGTGACTCTATAGGACAGAGTAGAACTGTCCCGTGGGGTTTCCAAGGAGCGGCTGGTGGATTCTAACTGCCAACTCTTACCACCCATTTTGAGACAGGATGACTTTTGAAGGACAGTCCTTAGACATTTCTTAGTTTTACCTACAGTAGACTCTGATTGTGTAAAATGACATAATTCTTGTTGAACAACAACTATTCCTTCCTCCCAAGGCACTAGCTCTAAGAAACTAAGTCATGTGATTGCAAAAGTCCTTGGAAATCGAGTATGGAAGACAAAGAATCTCCACAAATACAACTTTTCCTCTTCTTAATTGTGGTCAGAAGTAATTTTGCACATGTAACCAAGCCCTCAGTGTGAAATACTTTACTAAAAGTTACCCCTAGACAATACCCTGTAACCCTAAGTGTCTTCTACAATGGGATACCAAAGTACCCTCTCATGTAGAACCTAAGAACTACAAGTAATCAGTCAGTAATCACTGAGCAAGTCAATCCCTTACACAATCTTGCAAAGGGGAGTACTTGTTTTGCAAAGTAACTTTTCTAAGATCTTACTTTTTTGTCTACTATAAGCCTATCAATCTCAATTAAAATGACATAAAAAGTAAAAAAAAACAAAAACAAAAACTTTAGATTCTATGAGTTGGCTAGATTTTTAAAAAAATAAAACAGCCTTTTGAAAGCTTGTCCTGGGAAAGCTGACTGCCCCTTGTGATGTTGCATTTATGAATGATACATTCCAAATGTCTTAAATAAATCTTAATGCTTCTATCAAGTCCTATTCATCCTTTAAGGCAGTAGTTCTCCAAGTATGGTCCATGGCAAATCTGTATGGACCCTGGGGGCTCCTGAGACACTTTCAGGGGGTCTTTATAACGTCAAAATCATTTTTATAATAATATTAAGATAGCATTTGCCTTTTTCACTATGTTGACATCTGCACTGATTGTGCGCAAGTAATGGTGGATTAAACTGCCTTGGTATGAATCAAGGCAGTTTCACCAAACTGTACTAATAGTCATTGTGTTTTCACTACTATGCACTTTGCAGTTTAAAAATAAATGAATAAAAATAAAAGCCAGTTTTAATTAAGAATGTCCTTGATGAAACAGTAAAAAATATTAATTTTGTTAAATCTCTACCCTTGAGTACACGTCTTTTAACATTCTTTGTAATAAAATGAGTACACACTAAAGCTCCTACAAAGTATGATGGCTCTGGAGGAAAAGCTCTTGTACAGTTGTGTAAATTGCAAGCTGAGATGGACACTTTTCAGCTGAATGAATGACTCACTGTTGATTACATTTATCTGTTTAAAGCCTTGGGTTTAAATATGGGTAGACAAATAATGGCACGTTTTTTAATTATATTTAGTTATATAGAGCTTGACAGAAGTTTTTTTTTATGGAATGCCATTTTTGCTTGAAAGAATGACTGACAGACAAACTATGGCTATTCTGAATTGGGCAGACATTACCTTGAAAATGAATTCAGTGACCCTGTCACTTCAAAGAAAACAGTGTCAGAATGTGTTGCTAATGATAAAGCTTAAGCTTTCAAGTGAAAATTAGAATTTTGGAGAACTTGTATCTGCCATTCTGAGCTTGACCACATCCCAATACTTAAAATTTGATTCTCTTGATGAGATGAGTGGTGGTATTAACAAACGTGATTTTTGGATATGGTATAATGAAATGTGTCAATATCTGGAAGGTCTGCATAACACATGAACCAATATTTTCCAAATACCTCAAGTCATGTTACAAAAAAGGATTTTAATGTATCAGGGTATGAAAAGGTCATTGATAAGATTTCAGATTCCATGTCATAACTGACCTTTAAGAAATTGCCGCTTGTCTAATTTGGTATAATATAAAGAAGAATATCTGTGCCATCTGAAAAGACTATTAAAATATACTCCTCTCCCCCTCCAGCAAAAATGCATATACTTTTCCCTTTTCCCGTTACGTATCTGTATGAAATGAGGTTTTCTTCATGTATTTCAACTAAAACAATGTATCACTACAGATAAAATGCAGAAGCAGATACGAGAAGCCAGCTGTCTTCTTTAAGCTAGACATTAAAGAGATTTTCAAAAATGTGAAATGGTGACTCCCTTCTTTTTTTTTTTTATGCTTTGGAAAATACAGATTGCTTTGTTTATAAAAATATGCTATATGTTAACAGGTAGTGGATTTATTGTTATTGTAAAGTGAATTAATATTTTAGATTGCTCAGTTTTCATTTCTAATATGCTAAATATTTGGTAGATATGCTGTGTAATTAGGGGTGCCCTAGAGGACATTTGACAATGTCTAGAGATATTTCGGAAACCCTGGTGGTGCAGTGGTTAAGAGCTTGGCTGCTGACCAAAAGGCCAGCAGTTTGAATCCACCAGTCACTCCTTGGAAACCCTATGGGCAGTTCTGCTCTGTCCTGTAGGGTCGCTATGAGTCAGAATCGACTTGACAGCAACGGGTTTGGTGTTTTTTTTTTTTGGAGATATTTTTGATTGTCATGATTGGGAGGGTACCACCGGCATCTAGTGAATCAAGGCCAAGATGCTATTAAATACCCTACAATGGGCAGCCCCCACCAAAAAGAATTCTCTGGTACCCAAGTTGAGAAACCTTGATGTAATCAAAAGCTGTGGGTCCTCAGTAATTTTTAAGAGTATAAAGGTGTTCTGAGAGCAAATCATTTTAAAGAGTCAGATACCTCTTCAAGTGATGGACTTGTTACAACAGGAAATATCCCACATGAGAAATTTATTTCAGAACTAAATATCAATAAAATACTCATTTTTCTGAAGAACTCGTATGTTTTCTGCTTATTGACAATGAAAATTATGTGACTATGCAAAGTGTCCCCGTATTTGCTTTGGTCACTAAGCAGGCCAGAGCCCAATCTGTTGTTCACTACTATGTACAAACATGGCCTGCATCTCTGAGCCCCTCTGCCAATGGTCACACCACTCTTCACTCTCAATTTTCCCTGCTCCTGACTTCATTATTTAAGTTTTAGTATTTTATTGTTTTTATGTCTTACAAGCCCCTCAAATTCTTTGTAAGGGTAAGCAGGGTATAAAAAAATTAAATTAGGTGCCCCTTAGATTAGCCAACCCTAAGAGAAAAATATACTTTTGAGACATTATTTTAATATATAATTTAAAAGATATCTTAAAAGGTAATGAAATTTTGCATTCAGTCAACAAATATTTACTGAATGCCCTCTCTGTGCCATACATTTATGGTAGGCATTAGGGATAGAGTGGTGGAGAAGTCTGGGCCCTTGCCTTTGCAGTGCTTCAGTCTATGTGGCAGTAATAGAAAACCTTTTAGCAGTCAGTTTATAGCTGAGTTTACTAATGTGCATTAAGTAGAACATTAGTAGAATTTTAGCAACTCATCCATGCACATAAGGAAAGGCAGTGATATCAGGGTCATGTAAACAAATCTAGGCATCCCTGGGTGGTACAAATGGTTAATGTGCTTGGCTACTAATCTAAAGGTTGTCAGTTTGAGTCCACCTGGAGACACCTAGGAAGAAAGGCCTGGCCATCTACTTCCAAAAATTAGCCATTGAAAACTCCGTGGAACACAGTTGTACTCTGACACACATGGGGTCGCCATGAATCTGAGTCGACTCAACGGCAAATGCTTGTTTTAAAGAAATCAGATGCAGAACTGGAGAAACTTAAATTCCAATCCTCTCACCCCAGAAATTGTTCTGCTTGAGGTGAAGTGAGAGAATAAAAATGATTTACTATGTCACCCAACTTTTTTAACTAATGTAATACTGATCGGGAGACAGCTTTCTTTGGGTTATGTACTATCATTTTGAGGGTCAGATGCCCTTCCTAATCATGCTTAGGTTAATCATTAAATTTGTTTTTAATCCTCTAACACACACACAGAGTGAGGGGAAAGGTGGCTCAACAGTGATTTTTACTGCTGATTGAAAAGGCTATTAAATTGCTAGCATGCTGTGAAGATTGGATTTAAAGGGGACTTTCACTTGCGATGTTGCATATCTTACAGCATTAGAATTTCAATAATTGAGTAAAGTAGATGGGTAAAAGTAGACTTTAGTTTGATAGTCTTTTTAAAATATTTAATATTTTTTAATATTAATATTGATTTTCACTTTTTCACTCTTGCTTCAGGTTCTTTTATTCATTATTCTTTCCTGGGTTAATTGTAAGTGGAACTTTATGTGTATGTCTGGTCATTTTCCTTTGGGGAATCAGACTGCTGCTCCAGAGAAAGAAAAAATCAGCGACAACTAGCAAAAATGGGAAAAATCAAATGGTGATTGCATTTTTTCATCCATACTGCAATGCTGGCGGAGGAGGAGAAAGAGTGTTATGGTGTGCCTTAAGAGCCCTGCAGAAAAAGTAGGTATGCATCTTTCTTAGGTAATTTGCTCCATTGGTAACCATTTAAAAAAAAAAAAAATCATTGCTCAGAGTCTTAAAAACTTGTGAGCAGCCATCTAAGACATAGCTATGGGTCTCTTCCCGTCTGGAGCAAAGGAGAGTGAAGGGAACCAAAGACTCAATGAAAAATTAGTCCACAGGATTAATGGCCCACAAGAACCGCAGCCTTTTCTAACCTGAGACCGGAAGAACTAGATGGTGCCCTGCTACCACTGCCAACCATTCTGACCAGGAACACAATAGAAGGTCTTGGTTAGAATGGGAGAAAAATGTAGCACAAAACTCAAATTTCTCAAAAAGACCAGACTTAACTGGACTTACAGAAACAAGAGGAATCCCCAAGACTATTGCCCTAGGATACCCTTTGAATTTGGAACTGAAGCCACTCTCGGTGGTCACTTTTCATCAAAATAAGAGATTGGCTTTTAAAATAATACTACCTGTGAATACTGTGTTCCCTTAAATTAATCAACCTTATGAGACCAAACAGTTAACATTTACCTTATAACAAAGATGAGACGCTAAGGAGAGGCAGGAAAGCTAGATTAATGAAAACAGGACAAAAGGAATGGAAATAATGAGAATGTTGACACATTGTGAAAAATGTAACCAATGTCATGGAGTAAGTTGTATAAAAATCATTGAATTGGAAACTAACTTGCTATGTAAGATTTCACCTAAAACACAATTAAAAAAATCATTGCCCAGAAATTCATTTTTCTCTAGTTCCCTTATTCATAGCCACAAATTTCTTTTTTAACTCTTCTTCAATAAGGAAATACTTCTTTGATATGTCCACATGCCTTATAAGATCCTATTTTATTTTACTTGATATATAAAGAAATGGAAGGGAAAGTATCTGCCCTTTTATGGTATAGTTTAGTGGGGATAACAAGTCACCTTGGGAGAATATGTGCAGAAAACATTGAATAATAAACAGAAATATGCCAAGTACTGTGAAGCACTCTAAGCCTGAATACTTTTAGTTAGGGGTCCACACAAGAAAATCATCTCTGTGAAAGCACTCGTTTGATTCTAATGTTATGTCTTTACCAGTTGGATAGTCTTAAGTAAGTTACCATATCAAGAAGGAATATGATGTTACACGTCATTTAATGTTTTAGGCTTCCTCCTCTCTACCCCTACCCGAAGGTTATTTATGATTCTGTCTTAGAAAGGAAAAAGCATAGTAGGATATAGAATCCATTTTTTGTCATATGAGGAAAACTTTCTCTTACATGGGTTCCTTACTTGCTGTCACAAGCCCTTCGTTCACTTCCCGAGCCTTCCCACGTAATTCCCTCAGCTATACGTTTCTACATTCTTGGCTCATCCTGGCTTCAGCCCTGTATTTCTTCTGCCATCTTCTAAAAATCCAAAGACTTCTCTTAAATTCTAGATTAATTTTTACCTCCTTGAAGCCCACCCTAGTCAATCTATACTACTCTTTCCTTCTCCTAACTGGGCAGTAGCTTTGTCTAACTAGATTATCGAATTCTTGAGGGCATGATATCTGTATACATACTTCCCAGCAACCCCTGTTACTTCTAACCCCCCTTCAAGAAAAAAAATCCAAATAACTAGTATGTCACATAAGATAGTTTTTCATCTTGTTCCTGCCACATTTTATTTCTCATCCCTCTCTGTTCCCTCACATATAACTCGCTTCAGCATGCTGATCTAGAGGAAGCTCCGCGAACTCCATGCTCTCTCTAGATTTCTTGCCTTTCCATATAATGTTCATTTTTTCTGAAATAACCTTTTTCTCCTCAGTTAATTTCCTACAAGCCTTTCATGGCTCAGCATACGCCACAGTACACTTTTCACTTAATCACCAATGTTTACTGGGGACCTACTATTTATCAGGCAGGAGTCCCTGGATGGCATAAACTGTTAAGTGCTTGGCTACTAACCAAAAGGTTGGTGGTTCAAGCCTACCCAGAGGTGCTCCAGAAGATAGGCCTGATGTTCTGCTTCCAAAAGGTTATAGCCTTGAAAACTCTATGGAGCAGTTCTGCTCTGCACACGGGGTCACCATGAGTCAGAATTGACTCGACAGCAATTAGTTAACTCATTATGTATCAGGCCTTGTTCTAGGACTTGAGATTAAAGTGTTGAACAAGATAGATCAGACCTCTCTCTCATGGACCTTAGATTTTAGTTGAAAGAGATAAGGTAATAAAGAAGGAAAATATCAAATATTGATAGTACATCTAAAAAGTTAAAATAGGACGACATTATGTGAGTGAGTTGATACTTTAGATTGAATGGTCAAGGAAAATCTCTGAGGCGATAATACTTAAACTGAGTTCTGAATGACAGAAATAGCTGACATTTACTGAGTGTTTACTAGGCTTTACAAAGTGTGTACTAGTAACTTCACAAAGTTACCAGGCTTTGTTTTAAGCACTTTACATAAACATCAGCTCACTTAATCTTCATAACAACCTTATGAGGGTACTATTCGCCTCATCTGACAGGGAAACTGAGGCATCGGAGCCCTTGTGCTAACCCACGTGCTACACTGCCTGCTTCTGAAAAGACAGTGGAAATGGGGAAAGATAAAGCAGAGAGAACAACTACTGCAAGTCCCCTAAGCCTTGTTCAAAGAAAGGAACACCAGTTTGGCTGAAACCTGGTAGGCCAGGGAGAGAGTGGAAGGGGAGGCTACGGAGGAAAGCAGGGCCCAGATCACATAGGACTTGAATGAGCAGGTTAAGGAGTTTAGATTTTTTATCTATTGTTACCTGACAACTGCCCCAAAATTTAACAACTTGAAACACAATTTATTATTATTGCTCATAGTTTTGAGGGTATGATAGGCCCTGTTTGAGTCCGTCATACTGTTTGCAGTCAGGTGAAATGGGCTGGAATCATGAGAAGGCTTCTCTCACGTATCTTGTTCTTGGGCTGGGCTGATGGGAACAGTTGAAAGCTGGTCGGGCAGCTCTGTCGCTCCAAGCTCCAGGTGACAAGCTTGAGTTTGTACACAACATGGCAGTCTCAGGTTAGCTGGACTTCCTACATGACAGTTGACTCCCTCTAGAGTGAGCATTCCAAGGGTAGGAAGTAGAAGCTGCCAGTCCCTCAGAGCCTGGGTGCAGAAATGGGCACAGTGTCACTTTTGCCGTATTCAAAGCAATCACAGAGCCCACCATTATGGAAGGGAAAATAGATCCCGCTTATCAATGGGAAAAGTGTCAAAGAATTTGTGGCCATCTTTAAGCCACCAAAGATCACAGTCTTTTACATTTTAAGAGGATCCCTCTGGCTGCTGGATAAGGAATGACTGGGAGGGGGTCTAGGGAAGAGCAGTGAGATACTCCCCTTGGAGGCTTCCAGCATCCTGTGGGTCTATCAATACCCATCATGCAGTTCTGTAATTGTTTTATATCTGTTTTCTCCACTGGACTGAGCTCCTTGAGGATAAAGACTTTCTCACCCCTGTATCCCCAGCACATAGCACATCATTGTAGATTTTAACAATCGGTTTATAACTTGAAGAAGAATTATAAAGACAATCACAGGGAGGCCAAAGCATTGAAAGTCATGAGTATGCTTTTAGATATTTCCATTATAGTTAGGTCATGTGTTTTAATTGTGATGCAGGTACAAGATCTAGCTTTTAAAACCTTCTTGTATTTCTCAGATAAAAACACCTAAGTAATGCGCTAGCATTATAATTCTGCCTAAAGATACCTTCAGTGAATTTTACATCTTGTTTATGAGTGTTTTATTAATATTTCATTACCATTTTTTATGCTGAGAAAGTTGTTAAAATGAAACTTGTGAACATTTCTTGAAAAAAGTTCTCATTCGTAAATCAGCAGTTTTTATTAAGTTTTGAAGCCCTTGGTGGAAGAAGTAGAGAACTAGAAAACACGGTCTTGTTTGAAGGACTAAGATTTTAGTCGTAGGAGAGTGGAAGATTCAGGACAGGGTGGGGCCAGTAGTTCAAGTACAGTGAGTGGAAAGCATTTGTTTAGTATAAAAATAACCTCCATTGGGCAGCTCCTGTCCGGAGGTGAGATGAGAAGGCAGAGAGGGTCAGGAGCTGGTTGAATGGACTCAGGAAATCCAGGTGGAAAGGAGGAATGTGCTGTCACAGTATAGGGAGAGCAACTAGAGTCACATAACAATGTGTGTATAGATCTTTGTATGAGAGACTAACTTGAATTGTAAACTTTCACTTAAAGCATAACAATAAAAAAAAAAGCTCTATGATGGTGAAGAAATGATTATAACTTTTTGATTTTAATCTAAGCAAATGAAATTTTTAAATATTATATTCCATTTTAGGTATCCTGAAGCAGTTTATGTTGTTTATACTGGGGATGTTAATGTCAGCGGTGACCAGATACTAGAAGGTGCTTTCAGAAGATTTAATGTCAGATTAATTCACCCAGTGAAGTTTGTTTTCTTAAGGAAGCGCTACCTTGTGGAAGATTCACTTTATCCTCACTTCACATTGCTGGGCCAAAGTCTAGGATCCATGTTTCTTGGCTGGGAAGCACTCATGCAGTGTGTTCCTGATGTGTACATCGATTCCATGGGATATGCCTTCACGCTGCCTCTGTTTAAGTATGTAGGGGGGTGCCGAGTTGGAAGCTATGTTCATTATCCCACTATCAGCACTGACATGTTCTCTGTCGTGAAGAATCAAAATGCTGGATTTAATAATGCAGGCTTCATCACCAGGAATCCTTTTCTCAGCAAAGTGAAGCTCATCTACTACTATTGGTTTGGTTTCATGTATGGACTGGCTGGGTCTTGCAGTGATGTAGTCATGGTCAATTCTTCTTGGACACTAGCCCATATCCTCTCCCTGTGGAAGGCTGGAAATTGTACTAGCATCGTTTATCCACCTTGTGATGTACAGACTTTTCTGGACCTTCCCTTACATGAGAAAAAGAAGACCCCCGGACACCTACTGGTTTCTATTGGCCAGTTCAGGCCTGAAAAGAATCACCCTTTGCAGATCCGAGCCTTTGCTAAATTGCTCAATAAAAAGGGGGCGGAGTCGCTTCCTTCACTTAAACTTGTCCTCATCGGGGGTTGTCGTAACAAAGATGATGAACTTCGAGTAAATCAACTGAGAAAGCTTTCTGAGGACCTGGGAGTTCAAGACCATGTGGAATTTAAAATAAACATTCCATTTGAAGAATTAAAGAAGTACTTGTCTGAAGCAACAATTGGTCTTCATACCATGTGGAATGAGCATTTTGGTATTGGTGAGTTTGTCCGTTAAACAACTTGTTGGTGTGATAAGATGTACATTTTAGGTCATTTTGATGATGATAATACTCTGGAAGTTTGTGTTGAGTCCTAATTCTCTTCCCCCAGTCCACCAAGATGCTTTTCTCACGTGAGACCCTGTCAGACAGTAGTCAATAAGAGCTAATACGTATAGACCTGTGTGCGGGTCTCTGTGTTAAAGTTTTTACAACTGTTATTAATCCTCTCTAAGACCCTATTTGATGGGTATTATTATTATTCCAAAGGAGTCCTGGTAGCACAGTGGTTAAGAGTTCAGCTGCTAACCGAAAGGTCGATGGTTTGAACCCACCAGCCGCTTGGCGGGAGAAAGATGTGGCAGTCTGCTTCCGTAAAGATTTACAGCCTTGGAAACTCTATGGGGCAGTTCTTCTCTGTTCTGTAGGGTTGCTGTGAGTTGGAATTGTCTCGATGGCTCAGAACAACAACAACATTATTATTCCAGTTTTGTAGGTGAGAAAACTCAGACATAGTGAGGTTTAGAGCTTGCCCAAGGTCAGTCACACAGTAAGTGGTAGAGTCAGAATTCTGACCCAGAGAGCCCTGCTGTTTACAACGTTTTCGGACCCCCTCTCCCCATCTAACCCCATCTACATATTGGTACAGATCCCTGGGCCCTACCCTAGTCCCAGAGTCCCTGGGTGGTGCAAATGGTTAACATGCTCAGCTGCTAACCGAAAGGTTAATGGTTTGAGCCCACCCAAAGTTACCTTGGAAGAAAGGCCTGGCAGTCTACTTCCAAAAAATCAGCCATTGAAAACCCTATGGAGCACTCTTCTACTCTGACACCCATGGGGTCACCATGAGTTGGAATGGACTCGATGACAGCTGGTTGGTTTACCCTAATCCCACTGAGCTACCAAATTAGAATCTCTGGATGGGGCCCAGGTAGATAGATGTACAGGTATCCATCGCTTAACATCCATTCGGGCAATGTCCAACTGCATATGCTTCCTTGGGCCGGAGCACCCAGGTTTCTGAGTGCCAGACGCCAGACCCTCATCTTGAGCCACTTCTGCCCGCTGCTGTGCCTCTCCTGGAAGCCACCTAGTCCGTGGCGATGAAGGCCCAGGCGCAGCTCCCAACCCTGGTCCCGCTTTGTTTCTGTGACTCAGCAGGTCTAGTCCCCACGTTTTGCCCAGTGTGGTCCCACAGGGCACCAATGGAAAGGTACACACCCCAGACACTAAGTGCCACAACGGGGAAAGTCCGGGGGACATGAAAGCACCTAAGAGAATCTCCCAGCACAGACTTGGGGGCCAGGTGACAGTTGCCCAAGGCAATGATGTGACCTGTGAGCTGGGACCTGAGTATTCCAGCGGAGAGAGCAGCATTGTGGAAGGCATGAGGCTCTTAGAAAGGAGCATAGGCAGGAACATCAGGGAATCAGGAGCCCAGTATGGCGGGAGCATGGTGTGAGGGAGGAACAGCAAAACAGTGGCAAGGTGAGCTGGGCTAGGTCACGTGGCCATGCGAAGGCAGTAGGAGAAGATGGAAGGATTTTAAATTGTGTTTAAAAGCCTCCTGTTTCTGAAAGTTGGTTCTGGCCATGGTGTAGACAGTGGGTTGATGGGGAGCGGGGAGAGCAAGATGAAAGCAGGAAGGTTGGTGGGCTGCGGCGACAAAGCAGCTGAGAAGTGCTGGCAGACTGAACTTGGTAGGTAGTCACACTTGAGAGAGATTCTAAGTAGTATCGAGCAGGACTTGGTAGTAAACTGTGTTAAATGAGGGAGAAAAAGGAGGCAGAGATGACCACCTAGGGTTTGGACGTTTTGGACAATTGTGTGAATGGTGTTGGCTTTCACCAGCAGGGAGCCCAAGAGGAGAGACAGGCTCTGAGTCCAGTTTGGAACACACAGAGTTGAAATCATCTGTGGGACATGTAAATGTATGTGTCCAGTAAAAAACTGATCGCTATAGAGCTGATTCTGACTCATAGCGACCCCATATGTGACAGAGTAGAACTATCCCATAGGGTTTTCTTGGTTGTATTTTAATGGAAGCAGATCACCAGGCCTTTCTTCCGCAGAGCCGCTGGGTGGGTTCGAACTACCAACCTTTAGGTTAGTAGTCAAGTGCAAACCGTTTACGCCAGTTCATTAGGCAGTTGTGTGTACGATTCTAAAGTACAGGAGGGGGCCCTGATCTGGAAATAAAAATTTAGGAGTTGCCATTGTCCAGGTAGGTTTCAAAACCTCCATGGATGTGGATAAGATTGCCGAGGCCAAGTGTGGAAAGCAAGAAGGGATTCTTAGTGCAGAATGCTGAGAACAGTAACAGTTAATAAACACACCAAAGAGCCAGCAGAGGAGAAGCAGAGAAACAGACAGGGAGGAGGGAAACCTCCTGAAAGTTAAATGAGCAGAGTGCAGTGTCTTGGAAAGCAAGGGAAGACAGCAAGGGGAAAAAGGGAAAGGGCACAGAGTCTAGTGCTGTCCAGGGCTGGGTAAGGTCAGGAAACCATTGGTGGCCTGGGAGGAGCAGTTTGGTGGAGAATGGAAAGCAAACATCCAGTTGTGGTTAAACTGAGCATTGAGAGAAGACAAGCAAGTGAAGTTAGTAAGTGCACAGCACACCTTCAGTAAGTTGATCTGTGAAAGGGAGATGAGAGAAGAGACAATAATGAGGGGACAATGTGTATGTGAGCGAGCACACTTTGTTTTTTTAAGAGTTTGAACTAGCTTAAATGCTGTTAATGATGGGGCTGGTAGAGAGGGAGGGGTCAGAGATACTGGAGGGAAAGGATAAAACTGATTAGATTGAGGTCTCTGAGAAAGTACAAAGAAGAGGTGGTATCCAGCTTTCAACAGAATATGTTCTGTAAGGATTCTGACAGTGTTATAGAAACAGTTATGATTTAACTTCTATGCTGTATCGAGAATGATATCAGCTATGCATCATCCTTCAGAGAACCGAGAAAGTAGTCACTGAAATCATTTTCTGATGGGCTTAATTCTCTAGGAATATGATTTGAAAGGCTGATTAGAGTAATTTATACCCCTCACCCATATCATTTGGCAGAAACTATCAGTACTTTGAAGAAGCCCTGGTGGCACAGTGGTTAAGCGCCCAGCTGCTAACCCAAAGGTTGGCAGTTCAAATCCACCAGCTGTCCTTGGGAAAAAGATGTGGCGATCTACTTCTGTAAAGATTATAGCCTTGGAAACCCTATGGCACAGTTCTGCTCTGTCCTGTAGGGTCACTGTGAGTCAGAATCGACTTGACGGCAGTGGATTTATCCAGTACTGCCATTTAGTTCAGCACTGCCACTGGACCCACAAAAGTCTCAAAAAAATTTGATAGAAAGTAAGTTAGTAACCTAGGTACCAGCAATAATATGCTTCACTAAGGTAGTTTACATTTTTTTTCCTGGCGATTCTATAATTTGAACTCTCAAAATTTTGCTTTTAATATTTTTTTTACTCCTTTCAAATCTTTCTGTTGTCATTAGTTGCTGTCAAGTCACTTCCGACTCATGGCGACCTCGTGCATGCAGAGTAGAACTGCTCCATAGGGTTTTCAAGGCTGTGAGCTTTCAGAGGCAGATCACTAGACCTGTCTTCCGAGGTGCCTCTAGGTGGGTTGAGACCACCAACCTTTCAGCTACTAGTGGAGCACTTAACCATTTGTGCCACCTAGGAACTCCATTTTATCTTCCTAATACCTATTAATTATCTAACACCTTGCTAGCATTCTCTAATCTTCTAGTTTGTTTTCCTATCTGGTCTTTTATTTTGTTTTATATACTTATAAATTATACATATTTTATAGATTATTCTTTCATCTATTTGTCTGTTTTAATTAAGACCAAATCGGCATTATTGTGAAGCTCTGAAAAGTGAAAAACTCAATTTATTTTCCATCATGAAAGTTAAATGAGCAAGTGTAGAACATACAGAAATTTGTAAAGGTTTCTGCGCATTCATGTTCTTAATGAGCACGCTTAAGCACTTAAAAGCCTGCAAGTTTTCTGTTTCTCTTTCAGGAATTGTGGAGTGCATGGCAGCTGGCACGATCATCCTTGCACACAAGTCAGGGGGCCCAAAGCTTGACATTGTAGTTCCTTATGAAGGAGATGTAACTGGATTTCTGGCTGAAAGTGAAGAAGGCTATGCTGATATGATGGCTCAGATTCTTTCCATGTCAGCAGAAAAGAGACTTCAGATCAGAAAAAGTGCCCGTGCGTCTGTACTCAGATTCTCAGATCAGGAGTTCGAAGTGACATTCCTGTTGTCTGTGGAGAAGTTATTTAAATAATGCCATATCTGCTCAAATGAAAGCTATTTTATGTAAAGTGGTTAAACATCTTCACGTGTACATATTTTTCTAAACTGATTCCCTGTGTAATAAAGCCAGCCTAAGCAGTGTTCTCAGTGGTATGTACATAGCCAAGGTATTTATTTCAATGAAAACAAAATTACCTAAATGGAAAGGTAATTTTACATAATGAATAAAATGAGAGTTTAAATGTAAAAAATTTAGACTAGTGTTGGTCTCAAATTCTGAAAAATATGGATCTGAAAGAAAAAAGATTAACAATCTTTAATTTTTGTGTAGTTCATATTTTAAAAATTATTTTTGTCAAATCATTTTACTTTAGAAAACAGAGTTAAAGGAAATGTTGAAAGGAAATGCCTGATAATTGACTAGCACTTTAGAATTGTCCAGACACTTTTGGAACACTTAGAAAAATTCCTGTGCATTTAATTTCTAAACAGTATTATTGTGGGTCACTCTTGTGAACATACCTAATGATTTTCTTAAAAGAGAAAAGAAGCTTTAAGCAGGCTTATTTATTCATGTTCTGAAAGCATAGCCAAAAGTCATGATGACCATGATTGCTTTATGGGTGTATGTAGGCATGGAGGCCAGTGTACTGCCAGCGGTCCTTTCCATAACGAGGTATTTGTGAAAATTGCTTTTGCTTTGTGCTGTAAGCACGTTGGTACGGGCCTCTCGTGTTATCCTTTAACAGCTCTGCATCTCAGAGGCTGGCCGTCACATCTAAGTCATTCATTCAAGAGGGCTGAGTGAAAACATCCAGACCAGTTGTTTTTCTGAGAGTAGAGATGTGGTATACTGATCATCTGCAAGTCTCTGTTATCAGCACTATGCGTTGTCAGATGGCAAGGGGACAGTTTGAAAAGAGCACTGGACTAGCAGTCAGAAAACCTGGGCTTGACCATCATTTACAAACATCTGACTTTTGACACAAAGCTGCCACTTAGTCTTTCTGAGCCTCAGATTCTTCATCTATAATCTGTGAATGTTAATACTGGTCTTCTGTACCTTTTAGAGTTGTGGGGCTGAGATTGAAAGTACTTAGAAAATTATAAAATTTAATTAAGGATAACAATATATAGTAAATGTTTTCTGTAATTCTATGTTTATCAATGCATCACAACTTTATATAGATTCTTGATTATTAAACCAGTAGCTAGGAATAAGTATACATTTAACAGGACTTCTGCCCTGAAAAACTAGCATGGAAAAGTGAATATATACTTTTTGCAGATACAGCTAAAAAGACAAATGTATGAGCAGCTTTTGGCATTTTCTGTATACATAATCAGTTGCTCCTAGGTCGGTGAAATGACCTCCTTCACAGTCTAATACAACTTTGTGTTAGGGGCATGTGAAAGAGTCATGTGGTTCCATTCCTCTAATCCCTCATCCGTTCGTCTATCCAACCAGCTTCATTAGCTACTCCCAGGTACATTGATGATACATCTGCATAAGTCCACAAGCCATCTTCTGTCACCAGATTAGAAGGAAGCAAAGCAGAGTCCCAGGATATCCTGACACACCAACATAGCTTTGTGCTAGAGATTATTCAATTTAGAAAAAAAAAACTAGTGGTAACTGATGCTGGAAGGAACCTTACGCATTCTCTAGTTCAGTTTTCTCTTACTTTCAGTTTCATAGACAAGAACAATTTAAACCTAAAGAGCTTAGCTATCTCCTTCAGTGTCACAAAGCTATTTACTGACAGAATCAGGGTTATACCCTGGGTCTTCTGACTCCCAGCCCAGTGCTTTTTCTTAACTTATATCTAGTTCTTGAGGTAAGAGTCATGGAACTGCCCGTTCAGCCTATCCATCTACACAAAGAAAACCATGGGACTACAGATACAGATATTGGAATGTTAAGAGCAAAACTAGAAGATGTAGTGAAGGAAGAAAGGATTCTGGAATTCTATAGTATGTTTTTTAAACTGCTTCAAATGATTTTTATTTATCACAAGCATATTGGAAAAAAAAGTTGACGTATATGTCTACTTTCAGTGTACCTAATGTGCTTATTAAGCATTCAGCTGCTAACCAAAAGGTTGGTAGTTTCAATCCACCAGCCGCTGCTTGGAAACCCTGTGGGGCAGTTCTACTCTGTCCTATAGGGTCACTTTGAGTTGGAATCGACTCAGTGGCAACAGGTTTGGTTTTTAGCAATGTGGTATTATGTGTTTTTTGTTTTCCTGAAAGACTGAGTGGTACCATGAAAAGCTTCAAAGCAATATGTCAGTTACCATCTCTGTGAAGAATTTCCATCTGGCTATCAGTTCCTAGAACACGCTGCCTGTGGGTGGTCCAAATGTGCTGTTTTGAACCCACATCAGTGGTATTTTATTTCCAGTAGTGAGCTATAAAGTACATGTTATATGTTCTTTGTATAGTAGTCTTTCCCAACTACCTATTTGCATCTAAATACAATTTAAAGAACTGATTTGCATCTATCTTGGATACTTTTCCCCATATGGTACCCTTTATACCCCTCATGTAGTCTCTCCCAACTCTGGATTATTTATTATCTCCTACAAATAATTCCAAGTTCTACATTCCAATAAATTTAATTTAAAAAAAAAGAAACTAAAAACAAAATTGTCTTGCCTCTGGTGCCCAAGAAAAATAGATTGTCAGGTTTAATAGACTATTTTAAATGAATATTGCAGACATACAAAACACTGTAGCGCTTCATAGATTTTATTTTTCGGGTCATCTTATACACAAAATTATGAGATAGGAGCCAATGTGGTTATCAGTACTTTCAGTATATATGTATGTAATTATATAAATGTAACCTTGACTCCAGGACTATGAATATGAATAAATAAATACCTGAGAGTATGTCTGTGCTAAATCTGTCAATGAGTACAAAAAAGTTAACTTCTGTTACATTACTACAACAAGTTATACAAGTTGCTAGAATCAAATTATTCCTCTGTAATTGTCTTGGAAGAATTATAGCCAGAATGCTTCTTAGAAGTGAGGATGGTAGGACTTCATCTTGCATACTTTTTCATGTTATCAGATGGGATCAATCCCTAGAGAAGTACATCATGTTTGGTAAAGTAGAGGGTCAGCAAAAAAGAGGAAGACTTTCAATGAGATGGATTGACACGGTGGCTGCAACAATGGGCTCTGACATAGCAACAATTGTGAGGATAGCACAGGACTGGACAGTGTTCTGTTACACAGAAGGTATCTATGAGTCGGAACCAACTTAAGTCTCCTAACAACAACAGAAACAATTTACCTCTCCCTCTGCTCCTCTGTAACTCTTGTTCCTCTTCACACACACACACACACCCCACCCACCAAAGTCTATACAGAAACAGTTCAATATTCTAAGTGCAATATTCTAGCGCTATGTGCTGGGGTGGGGGTGGGGGAATCTTAGATTTAATGTAAAGACACTTAAAAAAGAGGTTGAAAAGCTGATAACAGCTGTTGGTACCATTTAAAGAATGATCATAGCATTGCCTATAAGCAAGAGGCATGAGTTTATATATGTTTTATAAATGGTTTTTAAGATGTTTTCATGTTTTATAAACACATGCAGGTCTGAGCTACTTTCAAATTAAGTACTAATGTTCAAATAAGTCACTATTTACTGAACACCTCTGCATTCACTATTTATTGAACACCTCTGCATTCTCTCTGTAGCTACGTTTATAACTACAAGCAGTCTTCACTTTGTGTGGTAGTGCAGGACTGTAAAAACAACCATGCAAGCTGAAATTATGCGAAGTAATCTTCATAATGGGGAAAATGATGAGTGTTTTGAGACCTTTAAAATTGTTAAAATACAAAAATTCTTTTACTATTATTAATGTATAGGGAAAGGAAAAATAGTAAAACTATTATTTAGTATACTGTACTTTAAAACATTAGAAACATTAAGAATTATTGTGTTTGGACTTCCGGCAACATGGTGTTCTAGGCAGAAGCACCACACTATCCCTCCACAGCAAAGATCCAAAAAACTAAGCCAAACAGAGAAAACAGCAATCCTGAAGCCCTAAACATCAAATGAAGACATAAAGAACTCAGCCAAGCACCAAATGGAATAAGAAACTGACAGAGAACAGAGAGTGAGGAGACATACATGGACAGGTCACCTATCAGCTAAGGCAGCACGGATCCACCATCTTGGACTCCTATCAGAGACCAGCAAATATTGGGTACGAGAAAGCAGCTTCACGGAGCTTCCAGCAGGAGACAGAACAACCGGTAACTGGCGATATACGCTTTCCCACCCCCCACCCTTCTTCACCCCCACTCAGCCTCCTCTGCTTCCCACGGCCACAGTCTCTTGGATGGGAAGCACCAGTTGCTTGGATTCCACCCGCCTGCACTGGCTGACTCCCTGTGTGCCATTTTTGGGCTGCTGGTGTTGCTTTTTTCTGCTGCTTTTGATTTCTTCCTTACCTCTCCACCTCCCCCTCCTTTTGCTCAAATACCTGGTTCCGTGCACCATCTTTGCTTCTTCCTGAGGGACTGTGGAGCTCTGCTCGAGTGTGGAACTGCTTCCTGGTCCGTGTTGCCACGCTGGTGGAATCCCAGGGCTTTTGTTTGTTTGTTTGTTTTCCTTTTCTTGAGTTGGGAGCCCGTTCTGGCCTGGCAGTGCTGTGCAGCTTGGGACTTACCCCCTCAGCTTGCCCAGAGGTGCAGAGGGATCCCAGAGGGCATTTCTTTTTTTGTGTTTTTTTTTTTTTTTTAATTATTATTATTCTGTTTTTTGGGGAGTTTTCTTTAATTTGTTTTTTCTTTTACCCCTTGTTCCCTTTTGTTTTTCTTCATTACTCAGTTTCTCGTCTCTCTATACCTTCCTTCTCTTCCTGTCCCCTGGATACCTGGCACTAAATATGTCTACGCCTCCTAGCCAGGTTGTACTTCAACACCTGGAACAACTTCCCCAGACCTCGTAGCCACACTGGTGGGATCCCTGGGAACTTTGCTGTTATTTTTTCTTTATAATTTTTATTTATTCATTCTTTTTTTTCTTCTTCTTCCCATTTGTTTTCCTCCATTTCATAGTCTCTCATCTCTCCACTCCAGGGGCAAGCTCCCCTAGCACTCTTTTTTGTTTGCTTATATGTTTTTGGCTCCTGTTCCTCTCTCCTCTCTCCCATACCCATCTTAGCTCCACACGACACAGTCTCCCCCCTCTATCCTGCCTACCTGCACTGTGCGCTTAACATCACACCACCCAGCAGCACAGGCACAGCCTACCAGAACCTGCCCTGCACTGATTACTGACCCACCCTGGTGACTGTAGTAAGTGCCACAATCCATCCCAGCAGCTCCTCTTCAGCTAGACCTGCCGTGCTGTACCATATCTGAGCGACTGACCCGCCGATTGGAGGAGGCAAAAAGTATTGTGCCCACAGACGAGCAAACAACAAAGAACACACAGCCCGCCTGCTCAGACATAGCCAAATTTAAAAAAAAAGAAAAAAACTACTGAGTGCCTCGAAGACAGCAGACAATATCAAAACATTTACAAAAACAGGACCGGATGGTTCCAGTAGGTGTCCAAAATAAAA